TCATCATGTTTTGGCTGGAGGCACCAGTGAGGTTTTTTTTTTATTTTTTATGGCACATGCACTCACTGGAGAGACAGAGACAGTCTGATTGAAAGTCAGATATTGCTCCTAATGGAGGATGCCATGCCATAATTTCCTCTCCTCCTATATTATATTATCACTCCAGGCACACATGCATACTTGCCCAGCATGAGTCTCCAGCTGCTAGGTCCAGGATTTGAACCACAGTAGACCATGTGTAAGTCTAATCCCATAGCCACCACACCACCTGCTGGTCTTGCAACAGTGACTTTCTACTTGTGATCCAGGATCTTGTTAGAGCCACAGATACATCTCAAAACCTATGTGATAATACAGTGTATTTGTAAAGTGGTGATGAGCACATGGGGGACAGAGGTCAGCTTTTAACACATGTTGATCTGATCCTTCCTTCCTTCACCATGATATGCATGTTTGATGGCACATCTTCTTTCTTGCTGTACCCTGAATGTGGGAGACTTCAGGAGCAGAACAGAAGACACTGAGTCACAGGGGCATCTCTGAAATTGCAGGCTCACAGAACTTAGTTACATCTGAATGCCAAGAAAGTGAGAAAGTTAACAGAGTGATCTCTATTTCCAACTTGCCTGTCTCTTTTGTCTCGGTCTTAGCTTCTGTGTCATTGAACTCTATTCACACACACAGTGCTTCACTGTCACCTCACATTAATGACCTTGACATATCATTGACATATCATATTCTGTTCCTGGAATTCAACCTCTACTCAATGATATAAAATCAACTCAATAGGAAGCAACATTCCACAAAGAAGTTGTTTCTGATTCTTGAACTGTTTGATATCTGAGTAACCTGAATTGAATACTAAAAAAATAGCATCACTGGGCCAACAGAGGGCATAATGGCTATGCCGCTGGACTCCCACATTGTCAACTGTGGTTCAAAATACAATGTTTTGTGACACACAAACACACACAAATGAAAGCAACCCAATGTAGAAGAGGACCTAAGGAGAGGTAGTGTTATCCAACATAGTTTAGATGAATCAAAAGTCAAAGTCTGCCCAGCAAGTAAAAAGAAAAAAAAAAAGGTCAACTTAAGAATGGAAGACAGTGAGAAGAATATTAAGGCATCAGGACAGAATCATTTTTCAACAATAACTGTTATTTCATTTAGTATTACATACTGCCTTTTCCCATACTTTAAAACTGAAATTAAAGTAGGATAAGACACAGAGAGGAACTTCATAACTATGTTACCTTCCTATGGTGGAAAGGTACTGTTTTAACCAGAGGGAAGGAGTAAGCCCTGTTGAAAGTTCAAGACATTTTGGAATGACTTCTTGATAATCATGAAAAGAAAACTTGAGAAATTATTTTCACCTTGGTTATTTTATACACACACAAGAATAAGGCAGGAAAAACAGATGGTGATGGTTCAGGAAAGATATAGGCCTGCAGGATGAGCACTAGGGGAAAACCACGTGACAATTATTGCTAGAAGCTACTGAGGTTGGGCTCCTCACAGTGGTGACCTTGAGGAGAGATCAGCTGGCCTGTGATCTGCATGGCCTAGTTGATCAGAAGGCAGGGGTTGGTCAACTTATTCACAACGGTAAGTTAAGGTTGACAGTTATTGCCATCCATCAAACTTGATGAAGCCTATTTCATTTTCCTTTTGTTAAGTCTTCACATGTTTGGGTTTCTTTTCTACAGTCTCTGGCTGTGTCCCTTCTGTCTCGATTATCAGCATGGCAGAATCCCTCAGCCCTTCGTCTGATCCCAGGGAACAAATGAACATCTTAGAGGTCTATCAGCAATTGCACTCACAACCAGTGGTGAGTGAACATCAGTATCGAGTTCCAAAAGAGAAATTCTCTATATTGGAGGCTACTGCCTACTCCCTGTACAACCAGTTACAGAAATCCAGTAAGTTCTCTAGGTTCACCATCACCACTGAGATGAACAATTGTGTTTCCTTTCTCTGATAAACTTCAGACATAATTCTTCCCTTTCACTCATCAAGATAAATTTCACTTCTGCCATCCTCCTATAACAGAGGAAGTGGGAATTTTACCCTCAATTTGATGAGGATGGGGAAACCTTTGTGATCTAGTGAGTTGTAGCTGAAATCTCAGTTGTTGATTCCTGTTGCTGTCACAGAGTTGCCTGTTGTTTTGTGCAATATACCAAATCTTTTTTGTTTGTTTTGTTGTTAGTTTATTTTCTTTCCGCATAGATAGCATGCACTCACCAGAGAAAGACAGAGAGGGAAAGTGAGAAATCATCCTCCAAATGGGATGATCACACCACAATCCCTTGTCCTCCACTTTTCTCTAAGAATTTAGTAGATGCCTGCATATGTGCCTAGTGTGATTTTTCAAGCTGCCAGGTGTAGGACCTCAACTGTGGTTGATAGTGAGAATCCAATACCTTAGCCACCGTTCCTCCTACTAGCTCCCAGACTAAACCATTTTTAATAGGATGCATCATCACTGTTGGTTTCGATGTGTTGGCCTGTTAAACTTTTATCCAATTCAAGCTTCTGTGGAGACCCCATAGGAAAAGCACTGTTTAGGTTACACTGGGAAAAACAGGGTGATATTTCACAGTGCCTATTTTAAAAGAGTGTAAAGATAAATTTGCTAAAATTGAAACATTTCTAAATTTAAGTGACACCATGAAGAGGGACTACCTTGGTGAAAGAGAAGTCTTGCTTTCTGCAATACTGGCTCTTTTTCCTATGAGACAAAGTCAATTGACACTCTGTGATGAAGTCGAGGATGTTGCTGGGCATGGCAGAACATCCATACTCCTCAAAACCCCCATTTCTCCCTGAATCTTAGATGAAGGACAGGTAGAAGGTCCAGGTAGATTTTGAGGTACTGTGATATGATTCAGATGGCTCTGTGGGAACAGGAGTAAGTGGAGGTGACCAATGTCCCCAGTGAAATCTACATCATTGTGTGGTACAGGCCTTGCACTCCCACACTCAGTCTGCAAGTCCACTGACCTGTTCAGGAAGAGGGGACCTATATCATTTTAGTCCTAGGAGCGTTCCTAAGTGTACAGGAAACTACTTCAAGTCACAGCAAGCTGTTTTACCTCAGGCGCTGCAAAGCTTGTTAATGTGGCCCATAATTCAGAGTCAGACAACACAGGATGTAGGTTTTGACTGCCAAATAGAAAGGAATTATATTCCCAAGTTATTTATATTCCTTGAGCTGCTCTTTCCTCATCCAACCCTCCCCTTCAATGTCACCTACCTCACCTTTTGGGCATGTACACAGAGGCACCGGGGATGATGTTGAAGACTACAAACTCAGTCCTTAGGGATCAGTCTCCCTTTACAAACAGACCATGACATGGGCCTGTTTTAGGAGGTGTCATTACCATGGCTCCTCTGCTGGGAGCTCAGACCTTCTGCTCCCAGTTGACTTGTCTTCATAAGCAGTCATCTGACAATGAGAACATAAAAGCCATTGTCCTTGACAGTGCTGGGACTTTCTCTGAGAAAATGACCCTTTCTATGCTGTCTTCATTAATGACCAAGAATCTTGTGTTCCACGAAGCAGCAAGGACATGATGGGTTGACCTATGATGGAAAGTGAGATGGGATGGTTGAGCAAATAGTAGGAGAGCATGTGGAACCTGGTGAGCATAAAGCCCTGAGAAGTCTGTCTAAGAGCATGCCAGGCAATTTGAAATTAGTGAGATGAGGGGCACTGTAAACACAGAGATTCATCATTCCCCAGAGCATAGAGTACAGCATGCCAGCACTCGCTTTTATCCACCCACTCGGGACCTTGCTTTCCTTTGTCTCAGTTGTGTCTGTCGGGGCAAATGTGCCTGCACTCATCTTCTTGCTAGGCTTGAACCACAAGTACTAATCCCCTGATGTTGTCCTCCACAGACAATACCCATTCCATTGAAGGCCCTGGCAAGACTGAGGTCAGCTCTGAAATTGAACTTCAAGGGCCAATGAAAGAGATCGAAGAGTTGAAGGTGAAACTGAAGCAGCTTCGAGAAAATTTCCCAGAGATTCAAAATAAGATCACTCAGCTCAAGGACATGACCATAGGCTGCAAGAAGGAGCTTACCAGGTAAAAAGAGGGTCCTCTGTTACACAAGATGGCAACACATGAGAACAAAGGATCTTAGCAAGACAGCCAATGCCCTGGCTTGGGAACCTTTATTTAGCCTGCTGTTCCTTATTCATGGATGGCCATGAGCAGGAGTAAGGTATCCTATGGATATGGCTATTTCACTCCAGATGGGAGAGAGCGAAACCATTCTATTAATTTCTCCAACTTAGATATGCAGAGTAAATCTCATGGATTTCCTCCATCCTTCAATGCCACCAGTTCCCTGATTACACAAACCAGAATGAAAGGCATTATTTTTGCCAAATTGTTCTGGGCTTGTTGACAGAG